CATTAAACATACCAAACTCAAGAATAGGTCAATCTCTAACCAAATGTTTACTTTGAGTTCATCTATATAGCCTATTAAAAAGCCAAATTTAATTAGGAAAGACAACCACTAGAAACAAAATGGAGAGATATTATGGTTTCCAGCTCTTTTCTAAAAATCCCTGTTTGCTTAACACTTTTAAATGGATTAAAAGCAGATGTTGAAATTGCTGCCAACTGTTCACTTGTCATCATGTGAATGGGAATCAACTTGGTTTTATTCATCATTAAGTTAAATGTTAGGCCTTAATAGTTTAAAGAGTCGTGGAATGCAAGTCCTTGATGGCATTTCAAAGTCTCAAATACTTGAAATAATTTTGATAATTGTGAAAACATTTGTCCTTGTACAATAAAAAGGAAAGTTCCTGAAAATGCTTAAAATTCTGATACTCCCACATGCTAGTTTCACAAACAAAAGTGAATATTTTGTTATATAGCAAGAATGTATACTTTTAGCCTTGCGTTTTATGTAGTGGAGTCTGAAAAGGAGCTAAAACTGGTTGCCTTTTTCAGAGTTAAAAAATTCAAGATACTATCTCAAAAAAATGAAACAAAAAAGAACCTAAGATGCTAGATATGCCCAAATGAGAGGGCTTGCTAATAGCCTTTTACAGGTTTGGAGGAGGAAGAGCATAAAAAGAGGATGGAGGTAGTATTTTCAGGGGTCTCAGTGGCAAGTCTGATGAGACAACAAAGAATGTGCAAGATTTTTTAAAAAATCTTTTTATGGCCTGCACTACTATCCTCAGGCCTATTGGGGTAAGTCTATAGCGCAGCTCTCCGCCCCGGGACTCCCTAAGCCACATTCACCCTTCCAGCCCTCCTGCCGTTCTATACTCCTAGTTTGGGCCCTGAGCCATTCCTAGTCTTGGGGCCCCAGACACCTGGGGAACCAATACTGCTTCCTGACCCTTCTCACCCAGACCAACTCAGTGCCTTCCATGGGCCCCAGGAGCACCGCTTCTGGTCCTGGCCCCGCCCTCAC